TGATCTGTCTATAGTATTTATAATGTATTTGGGTGTCCCTATTACAGAGTGATGTGATCTGTCTATAGTATTTATAATGTATTTGGGTGTCCCTATTACAGAGTGATGTGATCTGTCTATAGTATTTATAGTGTATTAGGGTGTCCCTATTACAGAGTGAGGTGATCTGTCTATAGTATTTATAGTGTATTAGGGTGTCCCTATTACAGAGTGATGTGATCTGTCTATAGTATTTATAATGTATTTGGGTGTCCCTATTACAGAGTGATGTGATCTGTCTATAGTATTTATAGTGTATTAGGGTGTCCCTATTACAGAGTGATGTGATCTGTCTATAGTATTTAAAGTGTTTTAGGGTGTCCCTATTACAGAGTGATGTGATCTGTCTATAGTATTTATAGTGTATTAGGGTGTCCCTATTACAGAGTGAGGTGATCTGTCTATAGTATTTATAGTGTATTAGGGTGTCCCTATTACAGAGTGATGTGATCTGTCTATAGTATTTATAGTGTATTAGGGTGTCCCTATTACAGAGTGATGTGATCTGTCTATAGTATTTATAATGTATTTGGGTGTCCCTATTACAGAGTGAGGTGATCTGTCTATAGTATTTATAGTGTATTAGGGTGTTCCTGGTACAGAGTGAGGTGATATGTTTATAGTATTTATAGTGTATTTTGGTGTCCCTAGTACAGAGTGAGGTGATCTGTCTATTGTATTTTTAGTGGATTAGGGTGTCAATATTACAGAGTGATGTGATCTGTCGCTACTATTTACAGTGTATTAGGGTGTCCCTAGTACCGGGTGATGTGATCTGTCTATACTATTTATAGTGTATTAGGGTGTCCCTAGTACAGAGTGAAGTGATCTGTCTATAGTATTTATAATGTATTTGGGTGTCCCTATTACAGAGTGATCTGTCTATAGTATTTATAATGTGATCTGTCTATAGTATTTATAGTGTATTAGGGTGTCCCTATTACAGAGTGAGGTGATCTGTCTATAGTATTTATAGTGTATTAGGATGTCCCTATTACAGAGTGATGTGATCTGTCTATAGTATTTATAGTGTATTAGGATGTCCCTATTACAGAGTGATGTGATCAGTCTATAGTATTTTTAGTGTATTAGGTTGTTCCTATTACAGAGTGAGATGATCTGTCTATAGTATTTATAATGTATTTGGGTGTCCCTATTACAGAGTGATGTGATCTGTCTATAGTATTTATAGTGTATTAGGGTGTCAATATTACAGAGTGATGTGATCTGTCTATAGTATTTATAATGTATTTGGGTGTCCCTATTACAGAGTTAGGTGATCTGTCTATAGTATTTATAGTGTATTAGGGTGTCCCTATTACAGAGTGATGTGATCTGTCTATAGTATTTAAAGTGTTTTAGGGTGTCCCTATTACAGAGTGATGTGATCTGTCTATACTATTGACAGTGTTTTAGGGTGTCCCTATTACAGAGTGATGTGATCTGTCTATAGTATTTATAGTGTATTAGGGTGTCCCTAGTACAGAGTGATGTGATCTGTCTATAGTATTTATAGTGTATTAGGGTGTCCCTATTACAGAGTGATGTGATCTGTCTATAGTATTTATAATGTATTTGGGTGTCCCTATTACAGAGTGATGTGATCAGTCTATAGTATTTTTAGTGTATTAGGTTGTCCCTATTACAGAGTGAGGTGATCTGTCTATAGTATTTATAGTGTATTTGGGTGTCCCTATTACAGAGTGATGTGATCTGTCTATAGTATTTATAGTGTATTAGGGTGTCAATATTACAGAGTGATGTGATCTGTCTATAGTATTTATAGTGTATTAGGGTGTCAATATTACAGAGTGATGTGATCTGTCTATAGTATTTAAAATGTATTTGGGTGTCCCTATTACAGAGTGATGTGATCTGTATATAGAATTTATAATGTATTTGGGTGTCCCTATTACAGAGTGATGTGATCTGTCTATAGTATTTATAATGTATTTGGGTGTCCCTATTACAGAGTGATGTGATCTGTCTATAGTATTTATAATGTATTTGGGTGTCCCTATTACAGAGTGATGTGATCTGTCTATAGTATTTATAATGTATTTGGGTGTCCCTATTACAGAGTGATGTGATCTGTCTATAGTATTTATAATGTATTTGGGTGTCCCTATTACAGAGTGATGTGATCTGTCTATAGTATTTATAGTGTATTAGGGTGTCCCTATTACAGAGTGATGTGATCTGTCTATAGTATTTATAGTGTATTAGGGTGTCAATATTACAGAGTGATGTGATCTGTGTATAGTATTTATAATGTATTTGGGTGTCCCTATTACAGAGTGATGTGATCTGTCTATAGTATTTATAGTGTATTAGGGTGTCCCTAGTACAGAATGAGGTGATCTGTCTATAGTATTTATAGTGTATTAGGGTGTCCCTATTACAGAGTGATGTGATCAGTCTATAGTATTTTTAGTGCATTAGATTGTCCCTATTACAGAGTGAGGTGATCTGTCTATATTATTTATAGTGTATTAGGGTGTCCCTATTACAGAGTGAGGTGATCTGTCTATAGTATTTATAGTGTATTAGGGTGTCCCTATTACAGAGTGATGTGATCTGTCTATAGTATTTATAATGTATTTGGGTGTCCCTATTACAGAGTGAGGTGATCTGTCTATAGTATTGATAGTGTCTTAGAGTGTTCCTAGTACAGAGTGAGGTGATCTGTCTATAGTATTTATAGTGTATTAGGATGTCCCTATTACAGAGTGATGTGATCTGTCTATAGTATTTATAGTGTATTAGGTTGTTCCTATTACAGAGTGATGTGATCTGTCTATAGTATTTATAGTGTATTAGGGTGTCCCTATTACAGAGTGAGGTGATCTGTCTATAGTATTTATAGTGTATTAGGGTGTCCCTAGTACAGAGTGATGTGATCTGTCTATAGTATTTATAATGTATTTGGGTGTCCCTATTACAGAGTGAGGTGATCTGTCTATAGTATTTATAATGTATTTGGGTGTCCCTATTACAGAGTGAGGTGATCTGTCTATAGTATTTTTAGTGTATTAGGTTGTTCCTATTACAGAGTGAGGTGATCTGTCTATAGTATTTATAATGTATTTGGGTGTCCCTAGTACAGAGTGAGGTGATCTGTCTATAGTATTTATAGTGTATTAGGGTGTTCGTAGTACAGGGTGATGTGATCAGTCTATAGTATTTTTAGTGTATTAGGTTGTCCCTATTACAGAGTGAGGTGATCTGTCTATATTATTTATAGTGTATTAGGGTGTCCCTATTACAGAGTGATGTGATCTGTCTATAGTATTTATAGTGTATTAGGGTGTCAATATTACAGAGTGATGTGATCTGTCTATAGTATTTATAATGTATTAGGGTGTCCCTATTACAGAGTGATGTGATCTGACTATAGTATTTATAAACTGAAGTCTATGAGTGATTTCATCTGTCATAATGTATTTGGGTGTCATAAACAGAGTGATGTGATCTGTCTATAGTATTTATAGTGTATTAGGGTGTCCCTATTACAGAGTGATGTGATCTGTCTAAATGTATGGACAATATTGTAGGTGAACAAACATGTAAAAACTGAAGTTCCTGGATTTCACATTCAACATCAAAACAAACGAATATAGTATTGAAACCAACAGCACGGATATGTATCTTATATAAAATTGTAATGTGTCCCTATTCACAGAGTGATTTACTGTCCATAGTATTTATAATGTATTTGTAATAAGAACACTTATCTCTCCATCAAGTTTTATAATAGCATTGGAATCTGTTTCAATTTTAAAGGCATGTTAGAATTGAAAATTAAAATGTTACTACAGTAACATTCTATTACTATTGTAGCATATGATATAAACTTTGTTTTACAGCAATTTCCAAACAAGTTATTTCAACTTATGCTTATCACTCTTGTTGGCCCAGGTGTAAACGCGCGAGGGGTCTTATTGTGAGAGGAAACCGGAGGACCCTGGGAAAGCCTACGTGGTCGGACAGGTGACCCTCTTATATCCGTTCCAGGAATCGAACCCCGTACGGCTAGGTGAAAGGCGAGTGTGTTACCACTGCGCCACCCGACCACCCTATACTTTTGTGATACTTTGTGTGGTTCATGATTATACCATTTGATTACTCTGTTAACTACACATTACATGTTTAGCATGATAATCTATGCTATTCTTTATGACTAGATACATATATATTTCATTCTGTTTGTAGTATATTCCCAGAAAATAATGATAAGTCAGACACTCCGGTTTAGGTATAGAGAAGAAAAACTCGGTCGTAATTTTGTATAAAAAATGATTTCTAAGAAAGCCGGTATTCCTTCACAATCTTACAATTTGTAAAAACTTGACAGTTTTAAGTACGTCCGTTATTTTGACCTGTCCTTCAGTGAGATAAAGTTGACTATTAAGTTATTCTGCATTTAAAAGGTTCGCAAACAGTCCAAACTTCTTGTAATCGATTATGCCAACAGGTGAAGTTATGTCCGATGGAAGAACCTAGAAAAGTACATGTAAACACATAATTACAAAATGATATCACGATTTATAAAATAATGATACACATTACCTACCATATGCAATGATAAAACAGTATACTATATACATGTCAGTTCCAAGTCTTTGATATGGTCGTCGTGAGCGAGTATAAATAGCACAAAATATAAAACACGCTTCAGAGAAGTCATGAATTCGACACTTTTTAATTCAAAATAATGTATGTGCATCTTAAGTTGTGATCAACTGCCCAGTGCTTGCTTTCAGACAGTAGCTAATTCATAATAAAAATAATGTATACTGTACAAGCAGCTGGAATATATTTTTTTCCGTTTGCGTAATTTATTCGTTTTGAAAAATCCTGATTTACTTGAGATTTTTTCCGTTTAACTCCGATCTCTTCTATTTCCGCTGCTGTTTCTCTTATTAGTATTTCCATAGATCATCGTCAGTGCTAAGTTTTATTTTTAAAATGGCTGAAGTAGATGATCCATCGTCTGAACAACCGAATCAAGCAATAGAAGGTATGTCCTAATTCGTTAGGACTTGTCATTATTTACTATACTATATGTCAACACCCTATTTGATGCTTAACCGTTTTCATCTCCAAACATAAAAGTCTTTTGTAACAAATAACTCCGATGAAAGGAACTGACGGAGAGTCTAGATAGCGGCCATGGCGTGATATAGTGATAGCTACCTATACTTATTTTTAGATAATGACTTCACACAACGTTATCGGTTTCACTACGTTCTGAGGTATTGTGTCCTTTTTTACCGTGTCATCGGGTGAAATTTATTTTGCGATCGACTCACATATATATCTGCGAAACCTGTAGTAACGATCGACCTATCGTAAAACTATCTGGAAAACGACAGCCTGATAAAGCATAGGACTTTCTACCAACATGACATATCATACCATTAACTCTATTACATGATGTACCATTAAACTCTATTACATTACCAATATCTAACATGATATTATCATTAAACTCTATTACTTTACCAATATCTAACATGATATACCATTAAACTCTTTACCAATATACATTACCAATATCTAACATGATATACCATTAAACTCTATTACATTACCAATATCTAACATGATATATCATTAAACTCTATTACATTACCAATATCTAACATGATATACCATTAAACTCTATTACATTACCAATATCTAACATGATATACCATCATTAAACTCTATTACATTACCAATATCTAACATGATATACCATTAAACTCTATTACATTACCAATATCTAACATGATATATCATTATCTAACATGATATACCATTAAACTAACATGATATACATTAAACATTAAACTATCTATGATATACTTAAACTATAACCCAATATCTAACATGATATATCATTAAACTCTATTACATTACCAATATCTAACATGATATACCATTAAACTCTATTACATTACCAATATCTAACATGATATACCATTAAACTCTATTACATTACCAATATCTAACATGATATATCATACCATTAAACTCTATTACATTACCAATATCTAACATGATATATCATTAAACTCTATTACATTATCAATATCTAACATGATATACCATTAAACTTTATAACTTTACCAATATCTAACATGATATTATCATTAAACTCTATTACATTACCAATATCTAACATGATATATCATTAAACTCTATTACATTACCAATATCTAACATGATATACCATTAAACTCTATTACATTACCAATATCTAACATGATATACCATTAAACTCTATTACGTTACCAATATCTAACATGATATATCATTAAACTCTATTACATTACCAATATCTAACGTGATATATCATACCATTAAACTCTATTACATTGACAATATCTCACATGATATATCATACCATTAAACTCTATTACATTGACAATATCTAACATGATATATCATACCATTAAACTCTATTACATTACCAATATCTAACATGATATATCATTAAACTCTATTACGTTACCAATATCTAACATGATATATCATACCATTAAACTCTATTACATTACCAATATCTAACATGATATACCATTAAACTCTATTACATTACCAATATCTAACATGATATACCATTAAACTCTATTACATTACCAATATCTAACATGATATATCATTAAACTCTATTACATTACCAATACCTAACATGATATATCATACCATTAAACTCTATTACATTACCAATGTCTAACATGATATATCATTAAACTCTATTACATTACCAATATCTAACATGATATACCATTAAACTCTATTACATTACCAATATCTAACATGATATATCATTAAACTCTATTACATTACCAATATCTAACATGATATACCATTAAACTCTATTACATTACCAATGCATAACATGATATAACGTACCATTAAACTCTATTACATTACCAATACCTAACATGATATACCATTAAACTCTATTACATTATCAATATCTAACATGATATATCATACCATTAACTCTATTACATTACCAATATCTAACATGATATATCATTAAACTCTATTACATTACCAATATCTAACATGATGTACCATTAAACTCTATTACATTACCAATATCTAACATGATATACCATTAAACTTTATAACTTTACCAATATCTAACATGATATTATCATTAAACTCTATTACATTACCAATATCTAACATGATATACCATTAAACTCTATTACATTACCAATGCATAACATGATATAACGTACCATTAAACTCTATTACATTACCAATACCTAAGATTGCATTCTGTTCTTTCTATCCAGAGGAAGTATATGTAAAACCAGAAGACAAGCAGATGGATGAATTTGACATTAAGTCTCACACATTTGAGATCCCAAACAAGAAAGTCAATCTACCAACAGATGTACCAGCGTGGGAATCATCAGAGGTACTTTCCATCTTGTACACTCGCCTATACAACATTATTATAAACATCCACTGTAGAATAATTATTTAATAGTTTTTGTTCCAACATTTGGATAAGTGTTTTGGATGTTCAATTCTGTCAGAAAGTTGTACATTAAAGAGTCTAGCTAAACACTGGATTTCTTGTGTAAGTTAGTCACAGGTTTTCTGTCTCCCCGACTCCTCCCGTTGCTTGGTATCATCTCATTGACAAACATTAGTGTTCTGGCGAATTGTTTTCTTAACCATTGAATGTCTGTCAGATTGCATTTATTGTCAATATGAACGCAATCTGGGTGCTCAATGGTTATATTTACATTTTTTTCATTTTTTTTATTTTTAGAAATAATTGTAATTCAAATTTCCCGCTCAATCGTTAGTGTTGCGATGTTGATGGAACAGCCATATTGACGAAGACAAAAGATAGTGCTTGGAAAAACAACAGTAAAACAATGACAGATTGATAAAACAATAAAGTTTGAAACTTTATTAGCTGATGAAATGAATGTCAAGTGCGACAAATTTTATGTTTATTTTTTTTTTCTTTCGGGATCTTTCCTCGGGTAGCGGTGCTTTCGCTGCATATACAAATCACAAAGGCTTGGTTTTGATAACAACACTATATTAAAATCAACAACACATCATTGATTACACGGTCAACACTGCAACACGTGTGTGGCACATACACAATCGTACACAAACTGAGAACGGCCTTTGTAATGTCACGGTATGTGTGTACAGTTCACTTTCACGTCACACGGTTGTTCATTATCACGATGCATGTCTGACTTTGACTTACAGTTCACAAATGACCATGATGCCTTTTCGTGGTTTCCTTCCCGGTGAAAAGCATTCCCTTCTTCTCCTCTTGCACATTCTCTCCCAAGCTCAAGTTCCTTCCAGGGGACATAACTCTTAACACTTTTTAGTAGGGTGCACACTACCAAGTCATCTTATGTAGTTGCTTACATATACTAAAACATGCGGTGTCCTTTTTTTCTTTATAGTGCACACACATATATAAATCAGAATTATGTTACATATTTATTTTGACAACCCCCCATTTAAAGAAAATACAGCTGTATATTTTTTACTCTAATGGAAATGAATATCACAATACTCTTACCCAGTAATGTCACCTATAACTATATGAATTGCCAACTTACGAACAAATCTCAGGAAAGAAATCTATTGCCTACTCAGGTAGTCTGCACAAACGTTTTCAGAGCCTTTCACCACTTCAATTCTAAACTTGTAAGTTTGCCCATCTCATGATTCTTGGACTCTCTATTTTGCTCTTCTGAATATACATGAGGGGAGCATGGTCTGTTTGCAATGTAAATTCTCTACCATACAAATACATCTGAAACTTCCTAATTGAAAACACTATTGCTAGACATTCCCACTCAATAACCGAGTAATTTCTCTCCCTAGCAAATAGTTTCTTACTGGCGTAAGCAACAGGAAACAATCCATCGCTATGCTCTTGCATGAGAACATCCCCAATACCAATATCGGACGCATCTGCCTGAACAACAAATGATTTTGATAGATCGGGCAGTCGCAAAACTGGAGCATAGGTCAACAGATCTTTCAGTCGCTTGAACGCTCTCTCCTGAGGTGGTCCCCAATCAACATTTGTCGGTCGTCCCTTTTTGGTAAGGTCTGTCAACGGTGAGGCGACATCTGCAAAGTTAGGCACAAACTTGCGGTAGTAGCCCGCTAGGCCTAAGAAGGATCTGACTTGCTTCTTAGTTCTCGGTCGCTCTGCTTCCCTGACCCTTTCCAGTTTGTCCGTTTCCATGGCAACATGTCCTCTGCCAACAGTATGTCCAACAAATCCTATTGATCTGAATCCAATCATGCACTTTGACGGGCGAATGGTCAGTCCTGCCTCCCTTATCCGCGTAAGCAAGTCTCTGAGAGTGTTCAGATGCTTGTTCCATGTTTGGGTGTGTCCAAGAATGTCATCGACATAATGATCAATGTTCTGGCTTCCATCCAGCATTTTTCGCTTCATTCGGTTAAACGTTGCACCAGAGTTCACCAATCCAAATGGTAATTTACAAAACTGGTAACATCCCTCATCTGTCACAAATGCTGTCATATAACGTGATGCTTCTGCAACAGGAATTTGCCAGTATCCCTTTGTTAGATCAAATTTCAAAAAGAAGACATCTTTATCAAGTCCGGTCAGGATCCTTTCTATGTCACCCATGGGCTCTGGATCAAATCTTGTTATCACATTTAAACGTCGATAATCCACACATACTCTGTTGGTGCTGTCCTTTTTCTTGACAACAACAATAGGTGCACAGTAAGGAGAGGTCGATCGTTCAACAATCCCTATGTCTATCATCTTCCTTACTTCCTATGGAATATGGAATTGTGTAAGGTTTCACCCGAACAGGAGCATCTGTTGTGGTCTCTATACGGTGCACTTGCAAGGGAGTCGTACCTGGCATGTCTGTAAATATATCCTGGAACTCCTCTAGTAAGTTGTTCACTTGTTTACGCTGATCTCTTGTCAGTTCTTTGCTTACAACTACATCCTTGTATGTTTCAACTGCGCCCAAATTTCCAAGCTCGAGTAAATGCTCATCATCTACTGCTTCAATGTCATCTGTGTCATCCAATTCAATGACTGCTATCCCAGCATTCTTTTGAGGAAGTTGTATTTCTCGCTGTTCTGCCGATGCTGCATCACCCAGCTCTCTCTCGTAATATACCTCTTTAACATGTTGATGTGGTAGACCTTTTCTTTACCACAAACATTCACTTTGTAGTCAATCTGGTTGATGACCTCTACTACATCATACGGTTCTTTCCATTGCAGCAGTAACTTGTTATGGTCTTTCGGTAATAATACAAGTACCTGTTGTCCGACCTCCAGATGCCTATGTCTTGCCTTTTTGTCATAATGACGCTTGTATGCCTCTTGTGCAGAACTCAGGCTCTCTCTTGCAATCTTGCAGGTCTCTTCAAGATCGAGCATGTGTTGGTATGTCGTTTTCACTTCTGAGGTTCCATCCAAATCCTTGCTCCAAATTTCCTTCAACGCTTGCATCGGTCCTCGAATTGTCCTTCCATACAATAATTCGAAGGGCGCGAATCCTGTGCTTGCTTGGGGAACTTCTCTGTATGCGAAGAGTACGGCGGGTAAGTACCTATCCCAGTCCTTGGGTCTCTCCTGGCACATCTTTTTCAGCATGCTTTTTAATATACCGTTCATGCGCTTGACCAACCATTACATTTGGGATTGTATGGTGTTGTAAATAACTGCTTCACTGATACCAGTCTACATACTTCTTCCAAAAGTTCCGATGTGAATTGTGAACCCCTGTCGCTCAAGATTTCCTTAGGGAAACCAACACGACAGAAAATGCCGAGCAACGCTTCAGCTATTCGCTCGCTTTCAATCCTCGGGAGGGCAACTGCCTCGGGGTACCTTGTAGCGTAATCGACTACAGTTAGTATATACCGATTCTTGTCCTCTGAAATAGGGTGTATGGGTCCTATCAGATCCACTGCCACTCTCTGGAACGGTTCTTCAATAAGAGGCATATATATCTCTTAGTGGCACCTTAGTAATCCGTCCTCTCGGTATAGTCTTTTGGCAAATATCACATGATTGGCAAAACCGTGATACATCTCCTGTAATGCCTGGCCAGTGAAAACTTGACGAGATTCTATCAATGGTCTTCTGGACTCCAAGGTGGCCTCCTACAATAGACTCATGTGCCAAAGCCATGACCTGTCTCCTATACTGTTGTGGTACATCTATCTGCCTCACCTCCTCCGATATATTTCCTCTAGTTTGTGTATACACACGATATAGGACCTCTCTTTTAACTTCCATCCGATACTTCTTACTGGAGTTTCCATCGTCAAAAACTTCTTTCCTTGCAAGCTTCCACCACTTGTCGAGTGTACTATCAGTCTTCTAGGCCTCTATCAAACCATCCAATCCAATTCCCTCCACTTTATCTACTTGTACCTTTAGCGGTCTTATAGGCTCATCCTGGTTCTTGGTTTGTGCCCTGGTCATTACAGCTGAAACCTATGTCTGATCACACAGTGGTTTCCAATTTGCATTGGGTGTTAGACGTGCATCATCTATATTTCCAATGACAAGGTCGTATATGGGATTCTTCATACACATGGCTTCTATCTCTCCAGTGTAATATGGCGTGTCTACTGTAACATTAGCAATCTTGAACCGTCGCACCGTTCCATCTATCAATACACATGGGAGTTCCTTTGAGGTATGCTGGTAAGGTTGTACTAGATCTTCTCTAACTGCAATGCTACTGCGGCCAGTATCGCTTAAAACTTGAACCTCTTGTTCTCCCAAGTATCCTCTCTGAACAGGCATACCGCTGTCACTGACAGGTTGAATACATTCCAGCGTCTTCATATCCTTTTTTTCTTCTATCTCCATCACTTCATCGCACACCTCCTTAGCCTCCTCATCATATTCATTCATACTGTCCACAGTCCTACCATTCTTTACACGCCCCCGGTCAACAGTCTTACACAGTGCTACCTTCTTACTATCGCTATGGTAAAGCTTTTGCTTCCCATCAGGCTGTTTGTTATGTGTCATACCTCCAATCCTCCCATCTGGTAAGTGATTTCTTGCAATGTGTCCTTCCCCACTACAAATAAAACAGCGTCTAGTTGGCTTCACAGTAGCTTTCATACTGTCATCGGTTTGTTTCTGACTATCCTGGTAATGAGTCTTGATATGGTTTGGTTTAGCCTTGTTGTCAAGTGAGGTCTTGATATTCCTTGTGACACCTCCACCATGGGCTTCCAGGTACTGCTCAGCCAAGCGTGTCATTTCCTTCACATCCTTAGGAAATCTTTCCCTCAGAAATACAGCCATCTCTGATGAACATTTCTGGATAAACTGTTCTCTGATCAATAAATCTTTCAGCCCTCCATAACTCTGCTCAACTTCTGACATATCTGTCCATCGCTCTAAATACCTGTTGAGTTGGGCAATAAACTGGAAAGCAGTTTCACCTATCTCTGGCTTGCTCACTCTGAATTTCAGTCGAAATCCCTCTTCTGTGAGTTCATAGCACCGAAGTAATGCCTTCTTTAACTCTGCATAGTTATCTATAAACGTAGGAGGCATGCAGGAATATACTTGTAGGCCTTTTCCTGTAAGTAAAGGACTCAGACTTACTGCCCAGTTATCCTCTGGCCAGCCTTGTGATGTGGCAAACTTCTCAAATCTTTGCAGAAATGCATCTATATCATCTTTCTGTTTATCAAATTTTGGCAATCGAGGCTTAAGTGACTTAGATCTTGAGTCTTCGGTATTAGTTCTGGCCAATTCATTATGTATTTGCTCTGTCTTAAGTTTTGCCATCTCTAGATCTGTCTGTATCTTGAGTTTCTCCATCTCAAACTCTCGGGCTAACTCAGCTTCCTTTCGTGCAGCTTTCTCCTTTGCTTCGGATCGTTCACGAGCCCTCTCCTCCCTGTACACAAACTGTGAACGGCCTTTGTAATGTCACGGTATGTGTGTACAGTTCACTTTCACGTCACACGATTGTTCATTATCACGATGTATGTCTGACTTTGACTTACAGTTCACAAATGACCATGATGCCTTCCCGTGGTTTCCTTCCAGTTGAAAAAACATTCCCTTCTTCTCCTCTTGCAAGTTCTCCCCCAAGCTCATGTTCCTTCCAGGGGACATAACTCTTAACACTTTTTAGTAGGGTGCACACTACCAAGTCATCTTATGTAGTTGCTTACATATACTAAAACATGTGGTGTCCTTTTTTTCTTTATAGTGCACACACATATATAAATCAGAATTATGTTACATATTTATTTTGACAATGAATATGTTTAACACTTTCAACAATTACTATTTAATATCAGTACTTAAATCCAGAGAATTAAAATTTCACTACGCAGGTGTAAACCATAAGCCTACAGTGCCGGTCCATTCATTCAGAAAAAATGGCGGCGTCACATCACTTCGAGTTAAAAGTGAACGAACAGCCTGAAAATGATGAGCCGGCGGAGAAACTTGGTGTAGCCGTATTGGTTTGGACATTTACATTCATGTTTTGTCTGAGTGAGTTTAAAGGAAGAGGATTATCGCTTGCAGAAAGGGACTCCGATGAAACACATACTACGGTTTGTGAGGAAACTGCTTGTGGGGATCTCGAAACTGTCACTGCGTGATCGGTAACTGGGGATCGCTAAACTCTTGCTGTGTGATCGGTAACTGGAAGTGTCAGGGTAGACAACGATGCACTGAGTGACTTTTTCTGTGTTGTCGAAACTGTGCGGTTATAGGACCGAAGCGAACTTTCAGATTTATGGGAGCTCATGAACATGATGTGTCTAGCCTGAAATCCTTGATCATTCAGGTATTCGATACTATTTGTATTTAGCCTACCACAGAGGAAGTATTAATGCGCACTCTCTGAACTGCATCTACAATACTGTGAATGCAGTCCAGATTAATATAGACATAATGGGTGACCACAGAGCAAAATGTAAATATTTTTGTATAACATTCTGTTGAAGTATAGATGTTCATTATTTACAGGCATACAGGGATCTAGTTGGTTTTATCTGTGCTGTAAGTGAAGCAGTCAAGTCCAAGAAGATCAGGGATGACTACCCTATCTCAGAGGTAACACATCAATCTCAGAGGTAACACATCTATCTCAGGGGTAACACATCTATCTCAGGGGTAACACATCTGTCTCAGAGATAACACATCTATCTCAGGGATAACACATCTATCTCAGAGGTAACACATCTATCTCAGGGATAACACATCTATCTCAGGGGTAACACATCTATCACAGAGGTAGCACATCTATCTCAGGGGTAACACATGTATCTAAGGGATAACAAATCTATCTCAGGGATAACACATTTATCTCAGGGGTAATACATCTATCTCATGGGTAACACATCTATCTCAGAGGTAACACATCTATCACAGAGGTAACACATCTATCTCAGGGGTAACACATGTATCTAAGGGATAACAAATCTATCTCAGGGATAACACATTTATCTCAGGGGTAATACATCTATCTCAGGGGTAACACATCTATCTCAGAGGTAACACATCTATCACAGAGGTAACACATCTATCTCAGGGGTAACACATCTATCACAGAGGTAACACATCTATCTCAGGGATAACACATCTATCTCAGAGGTAACACATCTATCTCAGAGGTAACACATCTGTCTCATAGGTAACACATCCATCCCAGAGGTAACACATCCATCCCAGAGGTAACACATCTATCTCAGAGGTAACATATCTATCTCATGGGTAATATGTCTATCACGGAGGTAACATATCTATCTCAGAGGTAACACATCTATCTTGTGGGTGACATCTATCTCAAAGGTATCTCTTCTATCTCAGAGTTAACACATCTATCTCAAAGGTATCACTTCTATCTCAGCAGTAACACATCTATCTCAGAGGTAACATATCTATCACATAGGTAACACATCTATCATAGAGGTAACATATCTATCACAGAGGTAACATATCTATCACATAGGTAACACATCTATCACAGAGGTAACACATCTATCTCAGAGGTAACACATCTATCACAGGGGTAACATTTTAATCACAGAGATAACACATCTAACTCATGGGTAACACATATATCACAGAGTTAACATATCTATCTCCGGGCAACATATCTAGCTCAGGGGTAACACATCTATCACAGAGGTAACACATCTATCTCAGAGGTAACACATCTATCTCAGAGGTAACATATCTATCACATAGGTAACACATCTATCATAGAGGTAACATATCTATCACAGTGGTAACATATCTATCTCAGGGGTAACATATCTATCTCAGAGGTAACATATTTATCACAGGGGTAACATATCTTTCTCAGGGGTAACACATCTATCTCAGAGGTAACATATCTATCACAGAGGTAACACATCTATCTCAGAGGTAACACATCTATCTCAGAGGTAACATATCTATCTCAGGAGTAACACATCTATCTCAGAGGTAACATATCTATCTCAGGAGTAACACATCTATCTCAGAGGTAACACATCTATCTCATGGGTAGCATATCTATTTCAAAGGTAACATAACTATCACATAAGCAACATATCTATCTCAGGGGTAACACATCTATCTCACAGGTAGCACATCTATCTCAGGAGTAACACATCTATCTTAGAGGTAACACATCTATCTCATGTGTAACACATATATCCCATGGGTAACATATCTATCTCAGGGGTAACACATCTGTCCCAAGGGTGACATATCTATCACAGAGGTAACACATCTCTCTCATGGGTAACATCTATCAAAGACATAACAGGTCTATCACAGAGATAACACATTTATCTCAGGGTTAACATATCTATCAAAGAGATAACACATCTATCTCATGGGTAACACATCTATCACAGAGTTAACATATCTATCTACGGGCAACATGTCTAGCTCAGGGGTAACATATCTGTCACAGAGGTAAAACATTTATCACATAGGTAGAATATCTATCACAGAGGTAACATATCTCTCACAGAGGTAACATATCTCTCACAGAGGTAACATATCTCTCACAGAGGTAACATATCTATCTGAGAGGTTACACATCTATATCTTATTTTTCATTTTACAAAGAAATGAAGTCTTCACAGTCATTTTCACACTGATTGGAATATTATATTTGATACATAATAGACTGAATCTCTTACAACTGTGGTTTTATTTATCTATTTCCGCTATTGTAGGACTATCTATTGCGTCATACCTTCTATGTATTGTTCAGGACGTCCTTATTTCATGTTGTTTTCATCAAGATTGATGACATAATAATTGAATATTGTTGTTTTGATGACGGATCGCTTGGATCCAAAAGGTGTAAACAACTCTTAGCACGAATAAATCATGGATTGGACCGGAACTGCTTGGTGTTGTGCCTGACGTCTAAATATGTATAAGTTTGATTTCTGTAGTGATTCATTGTCAGCTGTTTCACTGTTTTAGACCACTACTAGGTTGGTTGGTCTCCTGGACACCATGGACAAGTGGATTGATGAGATTCCTCCTATAGACCAACCACAGCGGTTTGGTAATAAGGCATTCAAGGATTTCTATGACCGTCTTAAGGATGTAAGTAAGGAAGTAGAAATAGTCAGTTGATTAAGTTTGAGTTAAGGGCAACTAACTCATCATAACTTTGAAAGTGTACAATATCAAAAACGGGTGACTTTTTATCATATTCAACCTCCAGAATCAGTCAAACTATCTTTCTAAGACTAAAAATACTTATGTTTTCTTGATTAATCAGTTTTATAAGTCATTTTTACTGCCACTACTTCTCACACTCTCAATCAACCATGAGGTCCAAATATCTCTGCAATTACGAACGACGTCTCTCCCATCACCAATGATGCCCTCCTATATCCCTATATCTGTCATCACCAATAATGTCCCCTATATCTCTACCACTAATGTCCCCTATATCTTTCACCAATAATGTCCCCTATATCTCTCATCATCAATAATGTCCCCTATATCTCTCATCATCAGTGATGTCCCCTATATCTCTCTTCATCAGTAATGTCCCCTATATCTTTCACCAATAATGTCCCCTATATCTCTCATCATCAATAATGTCCCCTATATCTCTTATCACCAATATTGTCCCCTATATCTCTCATCATCAATAATGTCCCCTATATCTCTCATCATCAATAATGACCCCTATATCTCTCATCATCAGTAATGTCCCCTATATCTTTCACCAATAATGTCCCCTCTATTTCTCATCATCAATAATGACCCCTATATCTCTCATCATCAGTAATGTCCCCTATATCTTTCACCAATAATGTCCCCTATATCTCTCATCATCAATAATGTCCCCTATATTTCTCATCATCAATAATTTCCCCTATATCTTTCACCAATAATGTCCCCTGTATCTCTACCACTAATGTTCCCTATATCTTTCACCAATAATGTCCCCTATATCTCTCATTATCAATAATGTCCCCTATATCTCTCATCATCAATAATGACCCCTATATCTCTCATCATCAATAATGTCCCCTATATCTCTCACCAATAATGCCCCCTATATCTCTCATCACCAATAATGTCCCCTATATCTCTTATCATCAGTAATGTCCCCTATATCTTTCACCAATAATGTCCCATATATCTCTCATCATCAATAATGACCCCTATATCTCTCATCATCAATAATGTCCCCTATATCTTTACCACTAATGTCCCCTATATCTCTCATCATCAATAATGTCTCGTATATCTTTCACCAATAATGTCCCCTATATCTCTCATCATCAATAATGTCCCCTATATCTCTCATCATCAATAATGTCCCCTATATCTTTCACAAATAATGTCCCCTATATCTCTCATCATCAATAATGTCCCCTATATCTCTCATCATCAATAATGTCCCCTATATCTTTCACCAATAATGTCCCCTATATCTCTCATCATCAATAATTTTCCCTATATTTCTACCACTAATGTCCCCTATATCTCTACCACTAATGTCCCCTATATCTCTACCACTAATGTCCCCTATATCTTTCACCAATAATGTCCCCTATATCTCTCATCATCAATAATGTCCCCTATATCTCTCATCATCAATAATGTCCCCTATATCTCTCATCATCAATAATGTCCCCTATATCTCTCATCATCAATAATGTCCCCTATATCTCTCATCATCAATAATGTCCTCTATATCTCTTATCATCAATAATGTCCCCTATATCTTTCACCAATAATGTCCCCTATATCTCTCATCATCAATAATGACCCCTATATCTCTCATCATCAGTAATGTCCCCTATATCTTTCACCAATAATGTCCCCTATATCTCTCATCATCAATAATGTCCCCTATATCTCTCATCATCAATAATGTCCCCTATATCTCTCATCATCAATAATGTCCCCTATATCTCTCATCATCAATAATGTCCCCTATATCTCTCATCATCAATAATGTCCCCTATATCTCTCATCATCAATAATGTCCCCTATATCTCTCATCATCAATAATGTCCCCTATATCTCTCATCACCAATAATGACCTCTATATCTCTCATCATCAATAATGACCCCTATATCTCTCATCATCAATAATGTCCCCTATATCTTTACCACTAATGTCCCCTATATCTCTCATCATCAGTGATGTCCCCTATATCTCTCATCATCAATAATGTCCCCTATATCTTTCACCAATAATGTCCCCTATATCTCTCATCATCAATAATGTCCCCTATATCTCTCATCATCAATAATGTCCCCTATATCTCTCATCATCAATAATGTCCCCTATATCTCTCATCATCAATAATGTCCCCTATATCTCTCATAATGTCCCCTATATCTCTCATCATCAATAATGTCCCCTATATCTCTCATCATCAATAATGTCCCCTATATCTCTCATCATCAATAATGTCCCCTATATCTCTCATCATCAATAATGTCCCCTATATCTCTCATCATCAATAATGTCCCCTATATCTCTCATCATCAATAATGTCCCCTATATCTCTCATCATCAATAATGTCCCCTATATCTCTCATCATCAATAATGTCCCCTATATCTCTCATCATCAATAATGTCCCCTATATCTCTCATCATCAATAATGTCCCCTATATCTCTCATCATCAATAATGTCCCCTATATCTCTCATCATCAATAATGTCCCCTATATCTCTCATCATCAATAATGTCCCCTATATCTCTCATCATCAATAATGTCCCCTATATCTCTCATCATCAATAATGTCCCCTATATCTCTAATAATCAATAATGTCACCTATATCTCTCATCATCAATAATGTCCCCTATATCTCTCATCATCAATAATGTCCCCTATATCTCTCATCATCAATAATGTCCCCTATATCTCTCATCATCAATATTGTCCCCTATATCTCTCATCATCAATAATGTCCCCTATATCTCTCATCATCAATAATGTCCCCTATATCTCTCATCATCAATAATGTTCCCTATATCTCTCATCATTAATAATGTCCCCTATATCTATCATCATCAGTAATGTCCCCTATATCTTTCACAAATAATGACCCCTATATCCCTCATCATCAATATTGTCCCCTATATCTCTCATCATCAATAATGTCCCCTATATCTCTCATCATCAATATTGTCCCCTATATCTCTCATCATCAATAATGTCCCCTATATCTCTCATCATCAATAATGTCCCGTATATCTTTCACCAATAATGTCCCCTATATCTTTCACCACTAATGTCCCCTATATCTCTCATCATCAATAATGTCCCCTATATCTCTCATCATCAATAATGTCCCCTATATCTTCTCATCATCTCTCATCATCAATAATGTCCCCTATATCTCTCATCATCAATAATGTCCCCTATATCTCTCATCATCAATAATGTCCCCTATATCTCTCATCATCAATATTGTCCCCTATATCTCTCATCATCAATAATGTCCCCTATATCTCTCATCATCAATAATGTCCCCTATATCTCTCATCATCAATAATGTCCCCTATATCTCTCATCATCAATAATGTCCCCTATATCTCTCACCAATAATGTCCCCTATATCTCTCATTATCAATAATGTCCCCTCTATTTCTCATCATCAATAATGACCCCTATATCTCTCATCATCAGTAATGTCCCCTATATCTCTTATCATTAATAATGTCCCCTATATCTATCATCATCAGTAATGTCCCCTATATCTCTCATCAATAATGCCCCCTATATCTCTCATCACCAATAATGTCCCCTATATCTCTCATCATCAATAATGTCCCCTATATCTCTCATCAATAATGTCCCCTATATCTCTCATCAACAATAATGTCCCCTATATCTCTCATCATCAATAATGTCCCCTATATCTCTCATCATCAATAATGTCCCCTATATCTCTCATCATCAATAATGTCCCCTATATCTCTCATCATCAATAATGTCCCCTATATCTCTCATCATCAATAATGTCCCCTATATCTCTTATCACCAATATTGTCCCCTATATCTCTCATCATCAATAATTTCCCCTATATCTTTCACCAATAATGTCCCCTATATCTCTCATCATCAATAATGTCCCCTATATCTCTCATCACCAATAATGTCCCCTATATCTCTCATCATCAATAATGTCCCCTATATCTCTCATCATCAATAATGTCCCCTATATCTCTCATCATCAATAATGTCCCCTATATCTCTCATCATCAATAATGTCCCCTATATCTCTCACCAATAATGTCCCCTATATCTCTCATCACCAATAATGTCCCCTATATCTCTCATCATCAATAATGTCCCCTATATCTCTCATCATCAATAATGTCTCTCATCATATATCTCTCATCATCAATAATGTCCCCTATATCTCTCATCATCAATAATGTCCCCTATATCTCTCATCATCAATAATGTCCCCTATATCTCTCATCATCAATAATGTCCCCTATATCTCTCATCATCAATAATGTCCCCTATATCTCTCATCATCAATAATGTCCCCTATATCTCTCATCATCAATAATGTCCCCTATATCTCTCATCATCAATAATGTCCCCTATATCTCTCATCATCAATAATGTCCCCTATATCTCTCATCATCAATAATGTCCCCTATATCTCTCATCATCAATAATGTCCCCTATATCTCTCATCATCAATAATGTCCCCTATATCTCTCATCATCAATAATGTCCCCTATATCTCTCATCAACAATAATGTCCCCTATATCTCTCATCAACAATAATGTCCCCTATATCTCTCATCATCAATAATGTCCCCTATATCTCTCACCAAATAATGTCCCCTATATCTCTCATCATCAATAATGTCCCCTATATCTCTCATCATCAATAATGTCCCCTATATCTCTCATCATCAATAATGTCCCCTATATCTCTCATCATCAATAATGTCCCCTATATCTTTCACCAATAATGTCCCCTATATCTCTCATCATCAATAATGTCCCCTATATCTCTCCCCTATATCTCTCATCATCATAATGTCCCCTATATCTCTCATCATCAATAATGTCCCCTATATCTAATGTCATATCTCTCATCATCAATGTCCCCTATATCTC